GAGCCTCTCGGCGGCGCTGCAGCCGCTGCGGGACCACGCGGCGGCGGTGCCCAACGCGGCGCGCGCGCTGCAGCAGCGGGAGCGGCAGCTGCTGACGAGTTTGACGCTCAAGCAGGACCTCGAGGCGGTGCGGGCGCGGGTGCAGCAGGTGCAGCTGTCGCCGGGGACGCAGGGCCGGAAGGTGTGTGCGTCAGGGGCCGCGCGGCGCGGCGCGGCGCGGGCCCCGCGCGGGGCCTCTCACGGGTGACGCGCGAGGTTGACGCTCAGTTGACGCTCTCGCACGCGGCGCGCCGCTGCCGCGCGCTACCCGGTGCACATGTTGCATCGAATGCATACCCTAACCACGAAACGCTCACTCGCAACGTGCCATGATAAAGTTGACAGTCCAGGGGCTCACCTGCCTGCCAAACACTTCCCGTGCGGCTGTGAAGCCGTATTATCTGTCAGCAACACACACTCCACGTGCCAGCAACACACACCTGCACCACCACCCACTGGTGGAGGACCGCCTGCCCCTCTCGTCACCCGCCGCCGCAGCTGGAGGACCTGCGACAGCAGGCAGAGGCGCTGGAGGCGTCGCAGGCCGCCGCCGCCGCGGAGTACGAGCGGCTGGCGGAGCGCAACACGGCGGAGCTCGCGGCGCTAAAGGCGGCCCGCGGCGCTGAGCTGGCGGCGGCCGTGGTGCGCGCGGCGCGCGCATCGCACCTGTTTCTGATTGTTTGGGGGCGGGGTGGTCGGCGACGCCGGCGGCTGGGCTACGGCTGCTCTGGGATCAGGGTCAGCGTTTTGCAGGAGGTTGATGCTGCAACGGCTGCGTCACTGTAGGGTCGTTCGAAACCCCACGCGACGCGTCCTGAAGCCCCGCACCCCTCGCTCTCCCTGCACACGCGCCACGCAGAGGAGCCTGGCGAGTTTGGGGTACTCCCACGCAGACCAGGCGGCCCAGGGCTGGCGTTCCACCATAGGGCTGCTGCCCACAATGGTGGGGGGCCCCGTGACTGCATACATGGCGCAGCGCTACTTCAAACCGTGAGGCGGCTGGGCTGCAAAACCTGATTTGATGGTGAGGGCCCCCACCCCAAGCCCTAGGGGGCTTTGAGAACTGTGCAGCATTTCTGCATCGGCGAAACAAGAGCGCGCTGCCTGAAGCACGCGCGTCACTGCAATATGTTGCTGTTCGGCTGTTGACGGTGTAAACGACGCAGAGGCTCGGCGCGCACGCCTAGGGGAGGGGGCGGTACAGGGAGCACACATGCACGCGGATGCATGGTGGTGGCTGTCCTGCGAAACGGTCAGCATGCCTTTGCCTGTTGACTGTCCTGATGAGCAGGGATGCATACGCCAACAAGGGGCTTGCTATGCAGGGCTTGACTTGCCAGGCGCACGCCCCTGCTCATGTGCTTGGACCCCAACCACTCCCCATGTAAATCCAGTCCAAGCTGTCCTACAGTAGTGGGGCCGAGCCCGCTGATTATGTCACGAACCTGCGCTGAGAGTATGGTGCTGGATCGCCAGGATGTTGTACTGTGTATTTTTCCTGGCCTCTTCACCGCACTGCAGTACAAAGCACGGGTGCACCTACTGGCCTCCGGTGCAGCAGCTGCATCGGCGGCAGCTTTGCTCGGCTACGGTGCCTCCGGCCTCCAGGCGGCGCACGTTGCAGTGAACAGCCACGGATCTCCGCACTAACTCAGTAATATCCCGTTAGTGTCTTCACTGTGCAGAAACATCACCTTGCACGCGTTCGCGAACCTGCTTGCGGAGCCCGTGTAGGAGCAGCGTGTGGTTGCACTACAACGCAAAAAGCTTATCAATCTCTGTAGTCTGTAAAACACGTGCTGGGGACGCTGGACTCGAGCTTGGCGCGGCTGATCACTCCCTCCTGATCTGAAGAGCGCGCTCTCCCCGCGGGAGGCCGCCAGCAGCCGGCAGCATGGGGTCTGTCAAGACACTGAACCCAAATGCGGAGGTGATGGGCCGCAACGCGGCCCTGTTCATGAACATCAACGCCGCCAAGGGGCTGTACGAGGTGATGAAGACCAACTTCGGCCCCAAGGGGACGATCAAGATGCTCGTCGGCGGTGCTGGAGGTGCGTTGCATGACAAGGCAACCTTCAGGCTTCTGTTAGGCGGCCGCGAGGCGCCGAACAACAGCCAGGTCGCTTGCCGCCGTTCAGCGCAGCCGCGCGCGTTGATGCAGCCAATGCTGGCCGGCGCCGCCCCTGGTCTGTTACCGCCCTGCCGGCGCCGCGCGGGGCTGCCATGAACCGATGTGGCCTCAACGCACACAGGGACGCTGCCCCCAAAGCGCACGCGCACACTCCTCCTGGCAGCGGCCCACGTGCTCCCTCGGGTCCGCGTGAAAGGCTCCGCCCTGTGCAAGCTCGCGAAACGCACACGCCGTGCGCGCCGCCCCGCCCCACCCCACCCGTGCCGCCCCATGGAAATCTCACCAGACATCAAGCTCACCAAGGACGGCAACGTGCTGCTGCGGGAGATGCAGATCCAGAACCCCACGGCCGTCATGATCGCGCGCACGGCCGTCGCACAGGATGACGTCACCGGGTGAGCGCGCGCCCGCGTTGCGCGCGGGCCCTGGCGCACCCCTGGAGCCGCGGCCTGCTTCATGCAAGCGTGTGCTGCGGCATGCACAAGTTACACGTTAGTTGCAGCGCCTCAGCTTTGCCGCGCGCTCGCCTTGGACCCGGGGCAAACAGGCGGCGCAGCGGTCTCCACGTTGTGCGCCCGCCAACCCCGCATTTGACCACGCCCCCCAACCCCCCGCCGCGGCCCCTCGTCCGTGCGTGTGCCCGCGTCAACGCGCGTATGCAGGGACGGCACGTCGTCCATCGTCCTCCTCATTGGGGAGATCATGCGGCAGAGCGAGAGATACCTGGCTGAGGGGAGCCATCCCCGCGTGCTGGTTGAGGTGAGTGGGGTGGGGGGTGGGG